TCGTCAACAAAGCATCAGAGACCAAACCCCTTCGTCCCGCGAAAATGCCTTCAATTATAAGGAGTAGGACTCGAAAATGCCTGGCGATAAGGGATGCAGCATGGCGTGCCTACAAGATTAACCCCGACTCAGAGACTTGGGGAAATTTCCTGACCCATCGCAACCATTGCACTGCACTTGTCCGTGAGGACAAAGTAACTTATCAACAGTGCCTAGCCAAAAAGTTCATGGCGAACAACAAACTGCTGTATAAGCATGTCAATAAGCTTCGTAAAGTGAAGCATGGAATACCCTCACTATTCACGACAGGCGGTAGAGTACAAAGCGCCGAAGAAGCAGCTAATGCCCTGCGGCTGCAATACGCCCCAATTTTTGAACTCGCAACATCTACCTGTCCCATAATATCAAGCACATTACCGACACCTTTGTTAAACAATGTTATTTTCAGCTTATCATTTCTGCTAAGGAAGTTACTCTCACTGCGTGAGCATAGTTCTCCAGGAGCAGACAACATCCGCCCGAAGGTACTGAAGGCTACGGCCACCAAGCTAGCTGAACCACTGTCACAGTTCTTCCAAAGGTGCTTTGATGAACAACAACTCCACACTATGTGGAAGTGTGGCATTATAACCCCTATTTTTAAAGGCAGTAGCCGTTCCGATCCTGCAAACTATCGTCCAGTGACTCTCCTCCCTGTGCTCGCGAAGGTGATGGAAGCAGTCGTCGCTGAGGCTTTAATGGACTACCTGAAAAAATGCAACATTTTGGTACCGGAACAGCATGGCTTCCGTCGACACCGGTCATGCACCACCAACCTACTTATTGCACGAGGTAGTTGGACGGAAGTGGCCGATGATGGGGTCGGAGTCGACGTCATCTATCTGGACTTCTCCAAAGCTTTCGACCGCCTTGATCACCGCATCCTACTTCAAAGACTACAAAGTTACGAATCGGAGATCCTGTACTTGGTTGGATTGGCAACTTCTTTACCAACGAAAGCTTCAAGTACGTGTTAGGGGATCACTTTCTAACCCAATTGAGGTGGAATGTAGTGTCCCACAAGGCTCAGTGCTGGGACCGCGTTTATTCCTGGTGTTTATCCACGACCTGGCAAGAGTCATCTCCTCAAATTTCCTGCTTTTCGCCGATGACGTCAAGATATGGCGGGCGATTAGTAACAAGCCAGATCAGGATCTGCTCCAACATGACCTAGATTGCATTTACGAATGGTCAAAGAGGAACAAGCTTCAATTGAACATGGCTAAGTGCAAAGTGATGCATCTGCGTCACCAGCCGGTGAGCGCTTACAAGATTGGAGACCACACCTTGGCGAAGGTTTATCAGGAGCGTGACCTGAGTGTATTGGTACAGGAAGATCTCGGGTGTTCAAAACAAGCAGAGAAGGCGACGAGGACCGGAAATCAACACTTCGGCCTTCTTCGCAGAGCCTTCGGTCGGTTTGAACCCTCAATCTTTCCCCAAATGCTTAACGCCTACATGCGACCAGACGTGGAATATGCTATTCAGGCGTGGAAGCCGTGGCAGAAACAGGATCTCGTTGCTTTCGAAATTTCTCAACGACGGGCAATCCAGAACGTCAGAGGCCTCTTTCAGCTGCCCTATCAGCTTAGACTGAAATCTCTCGGAATGTACAGCAGTCGATATCGGCTTTTGTGGAGGGATCTCATAATGGTTTACCAGATTCTGAAGAACCCAAACCACATTTGCCGTCCGCTGCTGGAATTGAACCACAACACTAAACTAAGAGGTCACCCTCTGAAACTGACAATTCATTATAGCCGGCTTGAATGCCGTAGAAATTTCTTTTCTCTCCGCGTGTGCCAGCCTTGGAACGCCCTCCCTAATTATGTCGTCTCTGCTCCCAATCTGGCGATATTTAAAAGACGTGTTGGCGATGCATTGTCTCACTTACATTTCATTTTATGACTTGTTAGCCAGGGGCTACAAAACGCAATCAAACGGTGTCTTGCCAAACGCTTAACCAATGGATTGATGGATTTATACGTTTAATACGCGAACATCTCTGCTATTCCACATAAGTCTATGGTGAGTCCACCACAACGCTTTGCACTTTATTATGCAATTGGTTTTCGCAATATTTTCCATCCCACGGGACTTGTTAAGCGATGCTTTTTTACCCGTAATAAACCATTGTTCCATTGTCCCTGTTCCCTATGGAATGCCACTCCAACGGCCCGACGATGCTTTTGTGTCAAAAGCGAAATGTTGCCCGACCAATATACCGACCGATTGTTTCCAAACCTTTCTGAACCCTATAGTAGGTTGCAAACCGGAAACTCGGAGTTACAATTGAACAATTAGGGTATGATAGAAGCGGGCTTCGGAAAAACTGATGGTTTAATGAAGAAGTATCCAATGATAGCATGCGTAACACAGTGCCAACACACATGTGCCACTTCATCTGGAACGTGTGTACCTAGAATTGTTCCATTCAGTGTGCCATATACACCCCAAACGATGAACACCTGGATGCATTGTAGTCTAAGTGAACCAACGCACAACTACTTTTAAGTATGCACACTTGATGTTTTGTTCCGTCTCGGTGAAGTTGACTCGAGGACGTCACTCAAGTTCCTGGTTGGTAAACTACGCGTACGCAGTATGCCGGCACACTGTACCGACGCTTTGCTGCCACGAGCCCACCACTGTTCGCTCGTGAGCGGAGTATACCACAAGGTCAAGCGTACCTACGCGGATTCGAACCGGTGACCTCTAGATTGCAAGGCAGGCGTGCAATCCTTTCGACTACCCCTCGACGGTACCCGGTTGACATTTCCGCGACCCGGGTCTTACCAATCTAACACAATTCAACTCCGCTACCTCTCGCTTACCTAAGTGTGACCACTCGAACGTGTGCTTGCGTCACTTTTAAGCTGTGCAATCAATGTGGTGCTGCTAGTGGTGTAAATATATATAGGAGCTCACTGTGTACACTGGACGTCCACTTGTTGCACGTCGTCAGTGCAGGCACACCTGCGATTCTCAAGTACGTCTCAAGGGAGCTCAGGCAAATAAACTAATAAGCCTTTATACAGAGTAGGAATTTTTATTAAAGGTTATTAAATTCATCGCAGCAGCTCACAAGCCAGCTGGGCTTGCAACCGTTCCGGTAATGTACCAGGTGGCCGTTTCGCCCTGTTGGATCTCGTCATTATTGTGCGTGAGGGTAGGAGATGAGTCACCATAACCCCAGTTAGCTTGTAAGTCATAATGGTCTACCACCGTCCCCCATGACTAGTGGCGTAAGCCGCCAGTAGTCATATGCTCGTTTCCTGATGGAGCCAGTGGCTGCCCAACTCCAATGAGCTCCGACATGGAGAAACGGCCGTCTGGTGCTTTTCCGGATTTGTGTTAAGGATATCTAAATTGTGAGGTGCTGGGATGCATTTAGTAAAATAGGCTTTTGTTTATTGTGGTAGCCTATTCTGGATGTTATTCTCAAAATATTAACCCCACAGTGCCACATGAGTTTAGCCTAGTAGACGTTTTTGCCTTTATTCCTGTGTCGTCGCGTGTAATTTAGACCGTGCGAGTATGTGCATTCGTTGACATGCTCTTTACGCTACTTCATTTTACGCCTTAACATGTCGGCGGTGGGGCTGGTGGGGCATAGATTGTGTCTTATCGCTTCATTTGAGCTTTGCTTGAGTGCGTGACTTTGCGGGGCTGACAGTTTCTCCCTAGTAGGGTGCTGGATGTGATTGCTCTCAATGTGAATGTTAGCAAGGGGATTATAAACCAAATAACAGCACATTGATTTCCTGCTCCAGCAAACTGCTAATCTTTGTTCGACGCAAAGATTGTGCTGGCATTCACAGGCATCCACAAGGACAGGGGAGTCTAGAAACGGACGCCACTAAGCGGATCATACGAAACATGGGCACAGAGCTCACACAGCGTCTATTAATAGACGCCGGGTGATTGAGGAATTTTACTCCAAGTGGGGAATGCATTGATTTTTTAGGCGTGTTTCGGGACGCGTAGGTGCATGTTTCCTCTTTCCAACCGGCAGCTGGAGCTCTGTAGTGCCTGCATAGTCAGTTAAATCAACCGCATGTGATTTGCTATGGGATGTGTGAGCGGATCAACATAGGCTATGAGTTGTGCAGAAATGTGCAATGCTGTGCACAGCCTCAGTGCTTGAACTTTTGGGGCGTGTGCGTGCCACCGCTCGCTTGAAACTCCCTTCAAAGACTCCGCATGCGCCATATGTCTTAATTCATGCTTGTAGCGCTTTTCATGCTTGCGCACAGTGGACACCTCAATATTCCTCCGGTTGAATTGACTTACATAGGTCACTGGGCATCACCCGATTGTTTAGGTGAGGTCGGGTGATGCGTTTATTCTGGTCCTGCCACACAGAATCTGCACTGACCCATGTTCGTGACGTTTCATGACAATACGTCTAAGTCTCATTGCATTACCTATGCACTCATAATTACGGTATACCAATATTCGGAGCACATTATCATCCTATCATACTGTTGACATTACAAGACGCTATAACGCTGCCGTTCCGGTATTACTGTGATGTGTACTGTCCACTAATTGTTCCATGTTTAATACGCCCACTATACGACTCATATACTACCGAGGAAACGCTGCTTGATCAATTTCGTCCCTCACTTTGCTGGCAAAGTGAGCAGTACCTATATCCGTTTGTTCCCTGAGTTGAACACTGATGTTGCCCATCAAATATCCCAGGACTTGTGTGTTTTTACGACTTCAGAGCACTGATTCCCACACTGTAGATTTGTTTCGCTTTTCCTCGTTGTCGTCACTGGCCAACCGGGTTGGACATTTGTATCCATAGAATCGGTGGACATTACTTCAAAATAAGCATCCTGTTCCGGCCATTAGTTGAGTAGCGATGATGACAGGGCATATAAAAAGAACCCCAAACGTGGACTTTGTATCCCCCAGGTACCTGATCTTTGCCCACTCTCTTTCTTTCGCAGAATTCTTGTCGACTTATTCGCGTTGCTGTTTTCGGCGAGGGTACTGACAACAGAGTGCGAGATCAATTTGTGCTGCCCCAAAACAACCTCCATATTACTAGTGTTGATGTCCAGTCTGTGGAACCAGTGGACCAACGGACACGAGATTCTCTGCAAAAATCGGTGCAGTTGGCCATCGAGATCACAACGAATTCACAGGAGGCAGCAGCCCGGTATGCTTACTTAGTCCATTGTGTCACGTGTCAATTGCAATTCCTCAATCATGTTGCATCAACCTTAGGTGACGGCATGGCCATCATCATCCTCCTTTTGGATGTGCAAAAAGCGTTTGACTATGTACCGCACAAACCATCGTTGACCGTGATGCAGTCCTACGGAGTTATCAACCCTTTCTTGAGTTCAATATCTTGGAACATATTTGGAACCGATCGGGAAGTCATCATTTCAGAAAACTTGGTAGACGACCGGTTAATGTATTTATGGTGATGGTTCGAACTATATCTTAACGGCTGAACACTGAGAGTACATATCGGTCAATATTGTTTCACTTCCAGAAATGTCATGAGCAGTGTTGTTCATGGCCCATTGCTTTTCCTCATTTATAAAAGCGATGTATGTGATTACATTAGCTACCGGCACCTATTTATGTTTGCGGATGACATCAAACTAGTGTACTCATTTAGACCTGACCATCTGGATGCGTACTTAAAAAATATACGCAAGGACCTAACATCCCAAAACAAATGGGGCGAAAGCAGGCCAATGATGTCTACTGCAGATAAATCGTAGATACTCTCTGCCACAGATGCAGTATACCAGAAGGACCCATCACTCTCACTGGCACTCACATCCCAACTACGTATTCCGTTAGATATCTGGGAATTCGATATGCGAGTAGCTTCGACTTCTCCGAACACATTCTACATCAAGTAGCGGAAGCGAAGCAACTAACAAACTACATCACTAGGTCATTTTCACTATCCCAAACACGGCTTGAATCATTCAAACTCATAACGCTAGCCACTTTAGAGTGTTGTATCATCGTACATAGCCACTTACGTAAAATGGATAGAAATGTCATTTGGAAAACCCAAAGGTTTATGGGGCCTTCATCAACGCTCACCATTGAGGACCGATGTTCCTGCCTCCAGCTCGATCCACTCTGGCTTCGACGGCTTAAAAGCAATCCTACTCTTCCCTACATTATAATATATTCGCCAGTTTTCCCAACCAATACGGCCGTCGTTTTACATAATGGCCCAACCTTCCCTACTCGTAGTGAGAAAGGTCTACTGTTCTTACAGAGGACCAAGCACAATATCCGCTTAAATTTCTTCCTGGGGAGGTACGCCCATCTGAGTAATAACTACCGGTACAAGTAAGGACCAGCGAGAGCCTGTTCAGTTTTAAATCACATGCAAAAACTTTTCTTTTCTTACCATATGTGGCAAAACTTTTCGATCTACGCCAGTCCACGTGCGTAGCCATGGAATTTAGCCCGGAAACCATACGACAATAGTAACTATAAAATAATTTCACTTAGTACATACTCATCAAAAGATTGTATAACTATTCCATATTGAATGCAGTTGATAAATGAAATGATGACGAAACTCGCTGTACAAATGATCATTGCACAAACGGAATGTATTCTGCCCGTCGGGAAATGTACCCATTTATTTATTTATTCATAATTTTCTCACGCTGTTTAGAGGTATCTTACGTCACTCCTTGCTTCTTTCCACTTTCAACCAGCCACGAAGCAGAACGCGTTGAGCAGGAGGCTCGTGGCCGATTAGAGCGCCAGAAAATCTTGGATGAAACGGCCGCGGAAGAGGCTCGTCGCAGTCTGCTCGAGACACGCGTTCAATTGGCCGCTCTGGAGAGCACCGGACAAGCAAAAGCTGAGGCTATGAGTCGCGCAGAAGCTATGCGCATTGAGGGTGAGGCGAATGTAGAGCAGGCAAAGCTGCGCGCGGAAGCGTTGGCGATCGATACCGTAAGTTCGCTGTCGATTCCGACTTTCAGTCCTTGTATCAACCTTACTCCTCATGGAATCCTTTCGACCGCCTATTCATTTGCCCTGGAATTTTTATGAATTTATTTATTAGCGTTATTAAAAGCTGCTTCTCTGTGTTTGATTTTTGTATCAATCTGACTTGACTTTACGCATTTGCAATAATGCAATTGTATGCTGTCATCAAATCCACGCCTCTCAGATGAACGGCTGCTATCGCTTGCCATCGATTTGGCTGGCTATCACTTGCACTTCACCACTTTCGGTCATGGTAAATCGGCAATATCACTTACAGGTCCGCCGCATCAACAGTGAATGTGAACCCTTTCTCTATTCCTGTACGGTTACATGCAAAATTATTTTTGCAGAAAAGTTGTGTATCCTTCAATTTAAGTAAAGCCTTCAGTGTCTTTACTCCGACTCGAAAGCTTAATCTCAAATACGAAAGGATTGGATGATTTGGTTGTTCCTCTATCGTCCCCAGTGATCTGGAACTGCAGCATCCGGCGCGCTGTGCATCAGCGTGACACAAATAATAAACTGGTTGCTAAGCAGAAGACATGATGGCAAGCATTTCTAGTTCTTCTTTGCCAGAGTAGTACACACAGAGAAACGCCGGCGCGCTTTGTTTTGTTCCTAGTCTAGCTTCTCCTGTCGAAGAATATCGCGTGAAGTTTCTCTGTATGTAATCGTCAGCACTTTCGACGTCGGGTGACATGCTTCGGCACCCCATCACTTTGTCTATCGGCTTGAATGTACTGTGTCCTGGACCAACCCTTTTGTTAGTGCTGAACACTGATTGTGTGCGGTCCCGGAAAATAGGAACTATGGTGACAACCCCGGTCACATGCTCACTTTCTTTTCAAACATGTTTGACGTTATTTTAAAAATGAGTACTCCGACCTGTATGTTCTCGGTATGCTCTCATTTACCAAGCCCCAGCGAAAGCCCACGTTCGAGATTACTTATCCCTCACCTAAGATAACTAAAGCAACCTGAGTCGGGACATCGAGTGCCACCAACAAAAGAGAGGAGTGGATCGAATCTCTGTTAGAATCGCCTCCAACGCATAGTGATACCAAGAGGTGAGTTGTCTGTCAGTCGCAACTGCGTTTCTGATAATTCCATAAACCCGTTTGAAACGCGGATGATGGAAACTTTGGCAGCCGGCCTCGGAGTGTCCGCAACATTGAACTAGATTATGATCGGTTCCGATGGTGGATGGCAAGGGCCCGCGCAATGTCCAAGGCTAATGGTATTGGGTACAACCAGCATCATTCCAGCTCACCGAACCGCTAACGTTTGCGGCAACATCTGGGAGGAACGGAGATCTTATTCATGAGATAAACTAGTCTGAACGTTAGGTGAAACAATTCGGCTCATATGATGTCGCGACAGGAACACATGCGAAATGGTACCGTTGGAGCAAGGTGAGAGGCTTGAAACGGATAATCACAAACCATCATTCTTGAAAAATGGTAACGCGGGTTCCCGATTTGAGCATTCCGTTTCCTTACTCATAGTAGTTTACAGTTATTTTTATCTTCATAAAGAGTCCATGGAAGTTGTGTGAAAACTGTCTAGTGTGTAACTAGCTGTCTTAACTAAGCTAGTCTGAGGATCGTCTGCGGACGGATCCGGGACAGAGAGCGAATATCAAGCCATTCCCACCCCGATCACTGAAATGAGCTTACGTCTGATGACCCCGTATCGTGAAGCGCATGGAATGTATCATTTTCAGTGTACCATTTGTACTATACTTTTACTTACCTCTCGGTCGTCACAACTATCATCCCAGTTCCCCATAATTACTACGTCAATCATCAATCAGTGGCATTTAGGCCCTCCTGGAATAATAACCTTCATTTCCAAGCATATCTTTTAAGATATCTATTTGGAAGCCTTAGCCATGTTATCGTTTGTCCAACAAGCTTACATGTATCAATCTGTGGCGCCACACTGGTCTCCATGGGGATCGGACATAGAAAAGCCACCACGCCCCCCGCGAAAGCGCTGGATGGTCGTAATAGAGAGGTAAGCGGAGCCAATGTCCAGGTACGAGGTCGCGCACAGACTTACCGCGGAGCACGCGAGCTGTCTGCTGCATGCGAAGGTCACCAACACGAGCGCGGAACGACCTTTGATTGTTTTGCCAAATTTGGGAATCGGGTGCAAACTGATTGGCCAGCAAATACAAGCCCGAGTCAACGGAGGCGAACCATTCTGCCAAATATGGAAAATCCGTGGAACGGAATTAACTCACATTGGCTGAGAGGCAAACGCTTCCAAAATTAGTATGTTTCGTTCACCAATAAATAGAACTGAGCTATCGTGTAGAATAGACTCCCTTCTGTATCCCGTCGGCTGGTTGGGCGCGTGACTGAGCAATCAGGCGGTAGTAGTCTCGCACGCGCTGAATAGGAGCAGTACGAATGCAGCTTTACAACAGGTCGTCTCTTCGTAGTTCGACTTGTTGACATGGTTAACCTTTTCCCTCACTTCTGTGAAAATTCCGACCAACTGTATAACCCACATACATTGCAGCGACCTAAATCAACGGGCTGAGAGTGACCTCGTAGACTGCCACAATCGATTTCTGCCTGCGATGCAGCGCGAGTCAGTCCAACTACTATGTTCGTTATTGTCGTGAGATGGACAGGATTGGCTCCAGAGCAGCGCTTGATCAACCGTCTACAGATAACGTGGGTAACGAACTCACTGTGTGTCTGTACATGACCACTGTTGGTACCCATGGGAAAGTGGCTCGGGGCGCTATTTCACAAAAATGCAATCTCGCTTTCGAACACCGTACATTTCGAGGAGAATGCACATCACTGATGAACTATAGGCATTAATGTCCTTCGAAAATCCTCATGCTTCCTTTTCTATTTGCATTATTCTGTTGTATGACGTAGTAGTAATAGTAGTAGAACGGATGTCTTAATGGCAACCAACTGCCCAGAACACTTAGCTTGTACCGATTGAGTGTTCAGTCAGTGCGAACTAACTAACAAACTAGGGGTTTAGGCAACGTTGGGGCGGTGGTTTTAGCCCTCTTACTCTGAATGCTTGGCAAAAGAACGTCCCGTGTTTCCGACCACGAATCAGGCGTGTCATAGTGACAAAGAGCATCTTTCAGCATGGTTCCTTGTGAAGACGTTGGCTATATGTTCTGTTTAGTTTTACCCTGGGTTACGAACAAAGCGCTACCGAAGATGCTGTATTACTCTGCTCGACAACAAGAACTAACAGTTATGTGAATTCCATTTCCCTTGATTGTTCTTACAGAAGTGATGGTCTTCGGCTCACTGAAATTCATTCAACTTCCCAATTACGTTAGCGGTATCCACCACAGGGTGCCTTAGCTTCCATCAACCTCATATCTTGAGCTGCGTAACCTTAACCAGACGAGAGTGTCCAGTGTGACAAGCCGCTTCTCACTTTCAGTCGTTTTTTGAATTGAGGCCACTTGCCAAACCATGATCCACACGCCTCGATATACAACACTGCCCAAACACGTATCATGTAGACATCAGCCTCATAGTGTGGTCACTCAAATGTTTGGTCTACAACGTATACTTATCGGATTCTATTTTTCGTTCATTCCTGGATCTTGGTGCCTCTACGATACCCTAGTCTGCATGTATCCGCATTGCAGCAAAAACGGGTAGGGCGTTACTGACACCACGGGAATGGTAGAATGATAAAGGTCCTTGAAACTGAGCGATATTGGGACCACATTCTTTTCCATCCAGCAAGCGCGCCGTACTCCTGCTTCTTTGAGAAGTCCACTGAATTTTAACTGTGTGACCTTACCTGCTGTGCCTTGTTTTACCGGAGCTGTACAAAAGAAATTTCAAAAAAGCATGAGCAGATTTTAGGATACCAACCGTGTGCTTGAGCCGCGGCACTCACTCTATATTGAGACTTCGGTTTGGTCCGAACTAGACCTCACTTACTCCGATCCTTTGGGACTGTATCCGAAGTGTTAATATTTTTGTTGCGTACTCCCAACACTGCATTCTCTCCCTGCTTCCGCCCACAACAGGTAGGAACAGTTGGAACTGGAAGTGGAACTCATGATGTAAATGGTTGACGGCTGACGATCTTATCACGAGACGAGCAGTGCTTAACATGGCGTTTAGCACCTCCGCGTCAGGTTTTTTAGGATCCACCGCAAAGCGTGCGACACCGAAACCCTCCATTATTTGAAATGAAATGTCCTACCAACTGATCACAAGTAGTATAACGTATGTAAGCATATGTAGACATACCGAGTTAGTTGCTGAAAGTGCAGAACAAATCAGTCCATTTTTCATTTACGGGGATCTTCACTTCGCCTAACATAATCACAGACATCTACGCGCATACTGAAGACATCTGCCTACCTAATAATAAATATTTAACTGTGTTGTCCTTAACTCACCCTCACTTTAGCTACCCACACCAACTATCCTCTCGTTGCCCTCAAAACTGAACTACTTGCGCTTAGAAAGTGACTTTCTGTTCCTTCTTGAGGTGCAAATTCTTCTCGTCTACTTAAAACTTTCTATCCGTGCACTTGTCATCTCCTAAGGTACAACAAATTTATCGATTATTCTGTTCTTAATTTCTGAAAACCTATTTGCCCTAAAACGACTTTCTACCTTACACAGGATTCTGAATTGGAACGATTGAGGAAGGCACGTGCTATGGAATTGGAGTACGTCAAGGAGAAAGATAGTATCAAACTTCACACATTAACTGAACAGATGAAAGTGGAGGTTTCACGCTTCACAGCTATGGTAAACGCTATCGGGGCAGAAACCTTAAAGGCAATCGCTAGTGCTGGCCCGGAGCATAACATACGTATGCTAAGCGCTTTGGGTTTGCAAAGCACTCTTATCACTGACGGATCCACTCCGGTGAATTTATTATCTACTGCTCACGGTTTGATAGGGAAGATGATGGACCAGGACGGGTTTGATCCCAAACGCAAAACCTTGCAGAAAAAAGCGATTGCAGTGAAAACTCAAGATGGCGCGACCCAAGAGGAAGATGAAGAGGATTCCGCTGTTGTTTCCTAACAGTAGAAACACATTCTCCTTTTCCGGTTAAATTTGTGACTTATTTCTTAACTGGTTTCTTAGGCTTTATTTCGCGTTTTCTTGTTGTGTTTGCTTCACCGCCGCCTCGCTTTCGTTATATCTTGCTTTTGAAAACTATTTTTGGCAAATAATCCCTTTTCTGAAGTGACATTCAAGGTTTTTCCGCTACACAAATCACTGTGTTCGATGCGCTCTTAGGCTACGATCGGCGGATTTCAGTTCGATGTTGGCCTCATGCGCTATTTGAGTGTCTAGAGTTTAGCAAGACTCAGTAGTAGTGCGGTATACAGGCACAAATGAACTCTAGGTTGACTTAAAGAGTGAAAAGCAGCAAGTAGCTTAAACTTATGCATGCAGTGTAGGGAGTTTGGGTAATCCGCTCTGCTTTTAAATCAACAGACTTGTCGCTGTTAAACTACAGTACGACATCAACCACGGTATTATACCATTATCATAAACTGATAAATCACTGCTGCACAACAAATGAATAAATAGATATTTTATTTGCGAGACATGGCCCAGGTTGTTGATCCGATCAAATCGTACAAGCGGATGTCGAAATCGTCGATTCTTCCAGTAAATATTCAAAGTGCGCGTGATGTTGATTTGGCGAGGTACGTGCCTTGTAACATAGTTGGCTTATTCTGCTGTAGCGACTTCTCGTCATAGTGCAGAGCCTGTCCACTACACCGCCTTTTTAGCCGCATGCGATAGCTTGCCATTATTTTCGGAGCTTCACCTCTTCTCTTCCGACGCCATTAAGTTCTAGGTCTCAGTTTAAACCATAGTTCGTCTTCAGGCGCTTGAGATGGAGGGTGTATTGATTCGTGTTTGTGATACGCCTTTCGCCGCCGTAAACGCTTTCGATTTGTCGTAATTTTCTCTGGTTTCAAATTAACCGTGGCCTTGAATCAGATTGCGGCTGCGCTGGTTGTCCTTGAATCGGCAGGGTCGCAATAACGCTTTCTTCCCCATCGTGATTTCATTTGTTATTTTTTGAAATCTCCCGTGTTTCTTGCCTCCCGGCCCTCACAATAAGCACCAAATCCCTCGACCATTTCTGGAAGATCCGGTTCTTGATCATGGCCGCAGACATTCCAGGCGTCTATACCATTTTACAGGCATGTTAGCGCATCGTACCAAGATTTTAGCGTGGTACATTTTCGAACTCGCGTGCTGTGCATTCAAGTTAGCGAGATTAAGGACGCTGTTTTTTGCGTCGTTGACGCTCTCATTGATCATGGGACGTTAGCCACTGGGACACCGGTTGGAAGCCCCGAGCATGCGCGACAGACAGTCCAATGAAAGTGGTCGAGCACCACCTTCTGTGCTGCCGTGATGCGCGTCTGAAGGAAACCTCGTTGATTTCTCTCCAAACTGAAACCATCCAACGCGCAACTTGTGATGCCTGTCTAAGGAAAAGATCCTAGCTACCACATGAGCCGAGGCTTACGCCGTAACCAGTGCGGACCGACATGCAAACCACCACATACAGCGGTTTATACTTATTGCTCGCTAGCCGCGACCTGTTAGTGGCCTACTTCAGCGACCTAACCATGCTTACGACGATGGCGTAGACAGGCATTCTTCTAACTCGCATACCGCAGTCTCTTAGGTCTCAGGGGGTCAGCCAGGCCTGCATTTGCGGTTGCTCAGGCATGCCTAGCCACTGTGATAGAAGTAGCACACTTCATGACTAAACACATTGGTCCAACTGCAGGATGCCAAGTATGGTGGTGACACGACATTAGTGCGTGTTCGTTTGTCTCCACACCCATGGGCGACTTTGTTAATCAGTTATCGCTTCAGTGTCAACAGGTATGGCGTTATTTAAAGGTCATAGGAAGGATGCCAAAACTATGTATCCATAGGATAATTAGATTTTATTTCCATATGATTACCCATACGTGTGGAGACAAGTGGCTCTCCAGAGGCACCATTACAAACATTGAAAATGCAGATGGAACCTCCCTATTACTTCCATGGACTGGAATGCTATCCTCATGGAATCGGCATTACTCAACAAAGAAACACCTAAAAGGGCTACAAAGACTACCGTAGTTATAAATGTCACATCATCCTGCAAGGAAAAACGCAAAGGCCAGTAAGTAGTGGCGGAGCACGCATTTCACTCTGGTAATTCAAATGAATACTTGGAACAGGCAAACACTGCTGTCTCACCCACGGGCGTTCCTACTGCATGTTTACAATCATTTACAAAGGCAACCGCGCCCACTAATCCTGATATGCACCACTGTTTCAACCAGCCTTAGAAGCAGTCATGTGTGCACACTGTGACACACGTAGTTGTCGACTTGACAACTACTCGGAAACACTTTATCACCGGAAAGTAGGTAGTTCTGGAAGCATTGTTGATGAAGGAAGATTGCTCCAAATCTTATGCTTATAATGCGTATGCGGTGCTTGTTGGCGGGTTATATCAGGCCGTAGAGTCACCTGGTATTTCAAGCTTATCAATCACATGGAAGTGAAGTGTAAACGTCATGTCGAAACGCAGGATTAACATGCATCTTACTACCTTTAAATAACGACAGATGCATGAGCACTGAAGCGGTAACTGATTACCGAAGTGACCCGTAGGTGTGGAGACGAACGAACACTCACTAATGTCGTGTCTCCGCCACACTAGAAATCCTCCTAGTTGGAACGATGATTACAGATCCAATGATGCAATTACTTACCCAACGAACTTGCCCTTAGTATACAATGCGCCGACTATATCAGCTGTACGTAGTCACACTATTCACATGAGTGTACGGCCAACTGAAACAACACAGCATGGGAACTTTGTAGCTGTAATGGCTTTAAAATTTCTATTTGTGAACAGGTTCTAGCATTACCTCCTTCATACGAAGTACTGTATTGTTTCTGATTACCTCCCTCTGCCTTAACAAACATATACACTTCTTAAACGAAATCGCACACGTATCGATTCTCCAGATTGCTCTCTGTGTCAATACTACACTATACATGCCGTATCCCGTGTGGTCAGATAGGCAAGCGAGCAAGGAAGGCAGCCGTACAATCCACCCGTAAGCCTTCAACGGTTCCCTTCCCATTGCCTGCAAGTGTTGCAGCCACATTACAATCAACCAATCCGCTTCTTATTACTACTCACTTAGATGTCCTCTCGCTCGCGTAGAATTGAAACCTGCTTACACCAGATGGGCTTCATGACCAATCACGTATTTTGTCTCCAATTGGCTGATCACCCACGACACCATGGAAGTGTGCTGGTACACCGATTGCGATCAATGGATAGGCTACCGACCAACCGAGCCAATCATACAGCGAACCCGCAAGCCTGCTACCAGCCTGTAGGTAGTTTTAAACAAGATGAAAACCGTTTTAAAATGTGCGCTTGTTTAAAACTATCGGCACATTCCATTCCGCACCAATGTGAGTCTGAAGTTAAACCGTCCAATCGACATGACAGCAAGCGTCCATCTGACTGCACGCGCGCACAGCATCACACTTGTTACTCTTCCCTTTGGTGTGACTTCAGATTCGACCCCAAAGTGGACCGCGTGATACGCAGCAGACCCAGTGATCTAAAACGCACGAGAAGTTTACTCGGCCATGAGTGAGAATGGACAGGTAAACTACCAATTGTAGCCATCGATAGTGCTGGTTCACCAGCCGTTTCCTTGTCGTGCTAGCGTTCAACAGCCTGGAGATGCGTACGATGATATGGTACTGAGCCATAGTGGCAGCTCCTATTACAAAGCGCATGAGCTGTGGCGGAATTAGCAGCGCGTGCATGAGCGTCTGGCGTATCGCGCACGCCATAGGATAGACGGCGCGCACTCAGCCTAGGCAAGAAAGGGCACGCGCTAGGCTGGTTCATCAATGTCTGCTCTGCGGTTGGCTAACACACCCCTAGAGAATTCCACGGATCCTTTGGACCAAAAGGGTTTTTAGAGGGGCCACAGAGGGCCATGTTGTCAAAAGTGGGTTGCCATAACATGAGTAACCAAATTTCTTTAAAATTTTTCTGTTTGTCTCCGCGCACTAATGCCGGTCAGGGAAATGGTTTACGCTGTTTACGAAAGGGTGAATCCATACCGAGCAAACTTCTCGTTGCGGAACTGCTTGAGCCCCGCCAAACTTGCGCAGATTTCGCTGCGCTCACCTCAAAATACTTAGACCAACTGAGCTTCCCTCGCGACACTGTCGTCAGAACACTGCATGAGTTACCGCACAAAGCCACACTGATACTGATAGTTTTCCTAAGGACACTACCACTATGAGATAACTCAAGTGCCGCGAAAGAATTCTCGTTGAACCTCACTTCTGCGGGGTTAGTTTACACGTTTTTCGTTTGAAGTCGCAGCCCGGGCACACGTCTGTCGGCCAGGTTATGTTAGCCCGATGCGTTCTGAATTCGAGTGCCTACTGTGCTCACGTGGTGTACTAATTCTGAGCAACGTTGGGTTCGTCCGTTCTTTATTAAATCGATTTATGGTACGTTTCTGTATTTGTTTATATTCTGGTACCTTTCGGAGATCGTGAGTGTTGTAGGTGAATATTCACCTGCCAAAGTGTATGAAGCAGTTCTTGAGGTGCATTGGGGCTACCATCTGTCGTCCAGTAGATGCTAACTGTTCTCTTCATATCTGACACTGTCCTACGATTGGTTTCACAGCTGATGCTCCGTAAAAAATTAATTACTTGTGCGGAATACTCTCTAGTAATTGTGCGCATCCTGAATGACCTTCCAATCAATTGATAAGCATCTCGGGTATAAGAATGGGCAACTTCGCGCAACATTCCAACGTGTAACAGGACAACCTGCTGCCAGCACAAAAAGCTGTTATGCAACGCAGTGCATAAGAGTCTCAACGGCCTCTTCTTCAATACCTCTTTGTGACAACACTCCTCTGCCCATTCTTCTATAAGCAGTAGCTCATCCTTGTACACATTACGTGAGTCCCTCAAGCCTAAGGAGCAGCACAATACCAGGTTGAAGGATGCCTGTCTACACCGCCATGGATAGGCCGCTGAATCAGCCACTACCAGATAGAGGTTAACTATCAATAACTATAGACTGCTTCATGTTGTGATTTGTAAAGGGTGTTTCGTTAATGTGCTCCGGAGCCAGGAGCGGCTGCACTCGGCTGCTGAT